CCAGTGCCCTTTCTCTCCTTTATTTTCTCCGGAGTATTTATCACCACCTAACGCGAGCTATCTTTTTCATTCATTTTGTTTATCATGTGTCCCTCTGTCCTCCCTCAGGAGGCCTGCTCTGTAGCCTTAGCACCCAGGGCAGGGCCTGGCCCATAAAAGATGTGCGATATTATTAGATTATTAGGGCATGTGAGGTGAGTGAGTGATCACAGAGCTATGGGCAGTGCTGGGATCCCTGAGCTTAACTGCATCAGGAGGAGGCCTTGCCCAAGGGCGCACTGCTGCTGTGAGGGGCAGGCTCCATGCCTGGCTACTTGTGGCCCTCGCCCCTCGGGGCACTGGCCTACCTGTTGCTTGAGGGCCAAGAGCCGGTCCAGGTCGGCCTCGAGCTCGTCGATGCTGGACTGCATTGTTGACAGCTGTTCCTGCTTCTCCAAGAGGGAGCTGCTCAGGTTTTTTTGAGTTTCCTCCAGTTCCAAGATGGCTTTGGTGCACTCCTCGGTGGCCTGGGAGATAGACGGGACCGTCCTGGGACCCTGCCTCCTGGTTACTTAGTGGGCAGAGTCAGGCTAGAAGGATACAATCCGGGGAGGATCCCCACGAGGGCAGAAGGAGTCCCTGCCCCTCAGGAACCAGGACCTGGAGGGGTGAGTCCCAGTGAGACGCCAGGGCCCAGGTAAGCCCACACTGTAGGCTGCTCCCCAAAGGCAGGCATGGCTGGGAGAGAGAAATGGGGGTCCCCTGCTTGAAGCAGGTCTGTCTGCAAGGGCACAGGGACCAGGGGCAGCTGGGCAGCTGCATGCCAAGAGTGGGAGCAGGAGATGCCTGGGGCAGGAGCTAAGGCCTCGTGGGGTGGGGGGTGTTGGGGGTGGGAGTGGAGGAGGCCTGGCTCCATCACAGTGAGGTTGGGCAGCCGGGGCTGGTGGGGAAGCAGCTGGTGGGATCCAGTGGATAAATGAAGTAGAGGTGACAGAGTGACTCTCAGGGTCTAGCTGGGGACACGGGAGAATTTGGGATGTGCAAAGGGCCAGTCTGTGCACAAACGCTGGCGGTCTTGCCGGGTGTGTGGCGCGTGGGGGAGTGTGTGGCAGGAGGACTTGGATGCAGCCCACCTGGAGCTGGAGCTGAGCGGGGGTCGGGGAGGGCAGGGCAGAGGTGGCAGCTGGGGAGCCCCGGGGTGGAGAGGAATGGACATCATGAGTGACCGGCATGGCAGAGAGGATTGGCCAACAAGGACCAAGAAAAGCCATTCTGCTGCCCCCAGTAATTTCCAAATGAGCAGTTGGGTCAAGCCTGTCATTTTCAGTTAATCTCTCCCGGTGCAGGACTTAGACCTTCAGACACTATCCCAACAGTCTCCATGTAATCCTCTGGACAGCTCCACAAGGTGAGTACCCATTTCACAGGTCAGGAAGCTGAGGCACAGAGCTGTCAGGCAACATGCCCGAGCCTTGAGTGGAACAGATTGTCTGGAGCCCAGTGGGGCTCCGAGACCAGGTTCTGTCTCAAGTGAGCCTTCACCTACCCGGGAGGGGGTTACTGCTCATATTTCCACCTGGCAGAGGCGGAAACACGGGCTTTGAAAGGTCCTACATATGCCCAAGGTAGCAGGGGGCTGAGGGAGTCTGAGCCAGAGCCCGGCGACGGCCGAGGGAGTGGGTGCTGGGCAGGGCACACACCACATGCTTGCTGATACGGCCTAGTGCACGAGGATGTGGACCCTCCGAGTGCCCATCAGCCTGTCCCCAGCACCCAGTCAGGGTCAGAGACACAGGGACTCACACGTGAGCCATGGTTCAACACGCTGTGCGTCCCTGATGCCATTTCTGTGAGGTGGTAAGGGGCTGAAATCTGGCCATCTTGGCCCTGGGCGGCACTGCTCTGTGTAGCTCTTCTGTTAAACCCAAGACAGACTTCCAAAGAAAGGGCCTGTCGTAGCCCGGCCCCCCTCAAGGGCCCAGTGACAGCCACTGCACCTTTACCCAGAACCGGCACGTGGGTCATGGGGCTCAGGCCCAGAGGGTGCAGGGGACAGCCGGCTTGTCTGGTTCCAGAGCCAGGCTCCTTCCACCCGCAGCGCCCCACTGCCACATCTCAGCCTGGTAAAACAGCCCCACACAGCAGCCCTGACTCCAGCTCTGGGAATGGGGGCAGGAGAAGGGGCAGTGCTGAGAAACAGGCTGGAAGGACAGTGTGACCAGGTCCACGGCACGCTCCCCCCTTGTCGCAAGGCCCCCACCTTGTGAATGTCCCTGATCTTGCGTCGCAGCTCTGTCTGCTGGTGGTGGAAGTCCGTCCGGGTGAGCAATTTCTTGTCCACCTTGGACTGCCCCTTGGCCTGAGTCGAGATGGTCTCTCTGCGGGCAACGGCCAGCTCCATGTCACGGATCATCTTCTCCTGCTGCTTCAGCAGCTGCCCATGCCTGACCTGGGTACACAGGGCAGAGGGGCCGTGAGGGAGAGTGGCGTCTCCACTACCTCCACAGACCCCTGACCCGGCAGGGAGACAGCAAGGGGAACGTGCCCGAGGACAGAGGGATCTGGAGCCATTGCCCACTGGTCAGAATGATTTGAAGGTCCATGTAAAGAACACACAAATGGGGAAACTAGAAACTGTCAGAGGCCAGGGGAGGTTAGCAGACCGAGGACTGCCACATGCAGCCTGGGCAGGATTCTGGAGCAGAAAAGAGACAGTAGCCAAGAGAACAGGGACACCTGTACCAACGTTGATTTCTTAGTCGTGGTTTTGGAAGATGGTGATGTGAAGGGTCTGTGGGACCAGGGCTGGGGCCCTGGTTGTCAAGGAGACTGACTGTAAGGGCTACATGAGGGCTTTCTCGAGTGCTAGGAGTGTCCTGTCTCGGTCGTGGGGGCAGAGATGTGGGCCCGGGCTAAACCCATCCAGCCAGACATTGAACATAAGTACATCTCCTTGTGTGTATGTTCTGCTTCAGTGAATCTGATTCAGAATAAAAAAGGATAAACAGGTAGGAACCCCCAGGTCAAGATGGTGGTGGGAGATCTAGCCCAGCCACGTTTAAAGTCTGCAGTGGTTGGAGCCCAGGATGGGGACGGCACAGATGGGGTGGGGGTGGGGGGCTGTTGTCAGCTCCACGTTGGCTCAGCAAGCGAGCACAGATTATCTGGGGATGCCAGCATGACTCACGCCCCAGCTGAGAGAACAGGGATGGGCCCCTATTTAACGCCATGTCCAAAAATTAATTCCAGGTGGATTCAAGATCTAAAGACGTGCAAACATGTGCAGAGAACTTGGGAACGTATTTGTGTCACTTCAAGCTGCGGGGACCATCTTGAGCAATCCAGGAAACCTAGAAGCCATGCAGAGAGACAGACAGGCCTTACAGCATGCATAGTAATGACCCCATGAGTGAGGAGAGACTCAGCGCAGAGAGCATGAAGGCCAGCAGCAGAAGAGGGAGAACGGGTGGGACAGGTGTCCAAGGTGGGGCTTAGTAACCGTGATACGCAAAAACTCCCTAAAATTGCCAAGAAATAAAAAAATGGAAATAGGAAATTGAGGAAGTGTTCACACACACACACACACACACACACACACACACACAGGCGCGTGCTCAATACCCCGTAACAGAAAATGTGGAAGTATGAAGCTTCTAGAAGAAAACATAAGAGAAAAATCTTTGTGACCTTGGGCCGGGCAATGATTTCTCAGATGCGCCACCAGAATGACGCACAGAGAACAGAGCTGGACCTCACCCACGTGAGGAGCCTCAGACGTGTTATGGGGAGTGAGAAACGCCACACTCACAATAATAATTCATGCTACGGGGTCTGCTTCTGTGACATCCTGGGAGAGTCGGGGACAGGGACATGGGAAGCGGAGCCCAGGAGGCACGAGGGACTTGAGGGTGATGCAGATTTGGGTATCACAAAGGGGGGTGGTTACGTGGTTGTATGTTTCTGTCACAGCTCATGAGATCGTGCCACCAAGGGCTCAGTTAAACACCTCAATTTAAAAATAAAGGCTCTTGGGCCAGTGACACCCAGAGGTGCCCAGGCTGTTGGGACACAGCCGTCCTCGAGCGCCTCCTGGAGAAGTGATCTGTGGGGCTCTGGTCAAGAATGTACACTCCTCCGCCCTGTAACCCCACTTTTGGGGATCTAACCTACAGGATACAAACAAACCAACCCCAGTAAGAAAGGATATTATGGCAAGCACAAGGAACCGGGACAATCTGGATTCTGATCACCCTGGGAATGCTCCGAGAAGTTAGGATAAATCCGTAGGACGTTCTTTAACTGTTAAAACCGGGCTAATGTCCATATTGTTTTTTAAAAAAGGTTGCTGAGCTATACGTACAGATCCTATTTTTGTGAAGGAAAGGAAGCAGCAGGGAGTCGCGGGTGGAGGGACGGCCACACCCGTGTGCGCATGCGCAAGCGTGTGGGCGGGGGGCGGGGTGGGTCTGGCCTGCTGCGGCCAGCACATGTGGCTTCTGTGGTTGGAAAAGTCAATTAAGTGGAGTGTTTTAAAGACTTATCAGTAGCATATGCGTTTGATCAGAATTCCTCTGAACTCCATAGACAGAGGGGTCCTGATTAAAAGCGGCATTGTGGAAGTGATGCCCGCCTGATTTTACTACCTGCTCTTACTGTATCCTAAGGCTCAGAGAGAGCCTTGATTTAATTACCAACCTTTTTTTGAGGTAATGAAATCCAGCTCAGGACAGTGGAGAGAAAGCGAGGCTCCCAGGGAAAAGACGGGCGTGTTCTTTGACTACGTTTTACCGGGCGAGACACCTTTCCTCGACATTGGGGTGTCTTTCCCCAGCGGGTCGTGGGATTCAGGGGTCCCCACCAGCCCTCAGAATCGTCAGAGTGCGCTGACTGCATGGGGCGAGGGTAAAACAGTGTCTCGCGAAACACCGAGCACATGACTGTGTGTGTCTTGTGTCTGTGATCCTGTGAACCCAAGTGGATGGACCCTGGACGGGAGGTCGGCAAGAAAACAGCCCACAGTGCTTGTGCTCCAAGTGCCCTTCCCGGGGAATGGTGTCCATGCCACTGGCCAGGGTGGCCCGTGGGGTTCCCGGGGGGCCCACCCCCAGTGAGGTCAAGCCCCCCAGAGCCCCCACCCACCTTCATCCTGTGGATCTCCGCCTTCATGGCTCGGATCTCTGTCTGGCCGGTCTCGGAATCCACCGATGCACGCATCTCTTTTGCCAGCTGGATTTTTTTCTCCCAAAGCATGATCTGGTGTCTTTAAAGGTGGGAGAGGCAGTGTGAGAGCTGGAGAAATTAAGGAGATTTCCTTCTGATGCTTCTGCGAGCTCATGCTCTAAGGACTCGCTCCAAATCGAGACCCACAGTGGACAGCTGGAAGGCAGGTGTTAGCAGAGGCTGAGCGCAGTGAGCTCGGGGCAGCTCAGAGCAGGGGGCCGGGACCTGGGACCCTCTCTCTCTCTCACTTAGCGTGTTTAAATAGCCAGGCACTGAGTGAAGGGCTTGACTGTCAGACACAAATTTCCCCGTTCTGTGACCTGCAGGTCAACATAAACCCCTGGGCCGAGGTGCTCTCTCAAGTTCCTGCCAGCCCACCCAACCCAGGGCGAAGGGGGCTGTCCCACCCCAGTCAGTGTTGCCATCATGGAGTCGCGTGGTGACGTTGCGGGGGACAGCTACACTGCGGTGCACGCAGCGCCTACGCCTGAAGCCACCGGAACTCTGTGCGTCAACTATACTTCAACTAAAAGAAGTTCCCATAGCAGCAAAGACCGATGCCAGCGCCCTGGTCTCAGTGTTTGTGTCCCGCTCCCTGACGCCCAGCGTGATGGTGTTTGGAGGTGTCACCTCTGGGAGGTGCCGACTCATGAATGGGATCTGCGCCCTTAGAGAAGAGAACCCACAGAGCACCCGCGGGGACACAGGGGGAAGCCCGCGCGACCCAGAAGAGGCCCTCACCCACGCAAGCTGACACCTTGACCTTGACCAGCCTCCACAGCCGTGAGCGATACATTTCTGTGGTTTATAAGCCCGGCCCCTTCTCTTACAGCCGCCTGGACAGGCAGCGGGCTCAGCGGAGCTGGAAGGAGCCTTGCGCGGGCTCTGACGCGGCCACGCGGGGCTGGCTGAGCAGCCGCTCCCATTGGAAATGTCGGTCCATGGGAAATATATAGAACTGCTTCAGAGGGCAGCATAGAGAACAACCCCATTTTTGTTTAAAAAGCAAGCAGACAAGAAAAGTATATGCATCGTGGTTTCCCGGTGAAGGGAGGGAGCTGGAATTATGTGTGATTTTCCTCATCTACTTTGCACACATTGTTACAGTTTAGAATGCTACAGTTGGGGGTGGTTACTCGTACAGCCAGGCATCATAAAAATAAAATAATTTTTAAAAACTTTATCCTGAAGAAAGCCACTCAAGGGGACGCCTGGGTGGCTCAGTCAGTTGGGCATCTGCCTTCGGCTCAGGTCGTGATCTCAGGGTCTGAAGATGGAGCCCGGCATCGGGCTCCCTGCTCAGCAGGGAGTCTGAGTCTCCCTCCCCCTCTGCCTGCCGCTCCCCCTGCTCCTGCGCTCGCTGGCTCTCAAATAAACAAACAAACAACAACAACAAAAAAGCCACTCAATTTCCCCTGAAGACTGGGCAGGCAAGGGCGGGTGGCTGGAACCGAGTGGTGACACGGGCTCTTCGCTGGGACCCGCCCCCAGTGTGGGCTGTAGAACTGGCCCGGGCAGCTGTGGATGGGCGGTGGGCGCCCGTGGGCTGCGCAGGCGCGGTGACAGTGGAGCGGGGGCGGGGCCGGGCACTCACTCTGCCTCCACCAGGTTGTTCAGAGTGGCCGCCTTCTCCTCCTGCAGCTGGTTCAGCTTCTCCTGCATCTCGATGGTCTCCCTCTCCGAGGCCTGCACGGGACGGGGTGCCGCCGACTGTGGGGGGACGCCGGGGGACGCGAGGACCCACACGCGCGCCCTCCCACCGTGCGCCCTCCCTCCCGAGCCCGCGCGTGCCCGAGTCCGCGGAGCGCCTGACCTTCAGCGCGCGCACGAACTCCTTCTCCATCACCAGGTTGTCCTGCTGCAGCCCCTCGGAGCTGCTCCGGTTCTTGCTTATCAGCACGTTGAGCTTCTTCAGGTCGTTGTCCAGGTCCTTCATGTGGCGCTCGATCTCCTTTTGCTCCTTCTTCTCCTGAGCGATCTTGTCTGCAGCAGAGGGGACGCGGGGGTAGCCACGTTCCCAAGAGTAGCCCCCACACCAGTCAGGGCCCAGCTGGGCCAGAGGGAAGGGACCTCTTCCTGGCCGCTCCGTTCCCAAAGCCTGGCCCTTTGAGGCAACAGAAAGGACCCCTGTGTGGACAGCCAGCAGGTGGGCGGGGGG